AATACCACTATTGTTTTAGTTTGTACTTCCCCATTATTTAATTAGGTTAAGCCAAAAATAAATTAGCTAAATAGCATGCCTATATAAAATAGGTTTATGTAGTTATAACCTGAGTAATGGGATTCCTCTGGGCCTGATTTAAAATTCAGAAATGTCAACAGTACATTTCTCCTTTGCAAAAAGGAAAAGCAAGATTTTCTCACAATGTTCAGGAGCTAGATCAATCAACTAGGCCAGTCACTCTCACCTAGGGAGAGGTTTTGGAAGGATTCATAGGAGGACAACTGCCAGAATCCCTGAGTAAGATCACATGCAAATCCAAACCAAAGCGCTCAATGCTAGCTGCCACCCAGAGCTCTGAATCCACAGTTCACTGTAATAACGGTAGGGTACAGATGCATAGAAGGTGAAGAATCTGGGTAGAGCAGGTGGCGGTGAAGGACAACTTATGTGAAGAAACTTGGGCAGTCCCTGAATCATTAACAGCTGCCAGCATCAGTGTCCTCTTAGTGGGCAGATTTATTGAAGGCGTGCACCAACAGCATGCCAGGTACCTCATCATGCGTTAGATTTGTCCCTGCACCCTGTTAGGAAAAGCATATTTGGGTCTCCTGTATCATTCTGAGTGAGTCACTTCTGATCCTTCCACTTGTCCTGGACACCCTTGCCATCTTGATATCTGCTGGAGGCTGGCATGCTCCTCACAGCTGACCTCCTGCGCAGAGACTGGGACTGCACGGTCATGTGTGCTAGGGGACTGTTGGCTAGCATTTGACACAGGCAGGAACTTCAATGAGCAGTGAGAGTTTAGAGCTCAAGAAGGGGGAAATGGGGTGGAAATGGCCTTGGACTCATTACCTCAGTAAGTGTTCAGGAAAAGGGCTAAAAAATGGCCCACATGGTGTCCACTGCTCCCATTGCCCTTGTATTCTCAGCTTCTGCTTCTTTAATGGGGGACTGTCCTATGGCTATGATTGCTGGCCTGCATTGCCACCAAAAATTCTTGGAGCCACAAGCCTTTAT